ACAAGCACTCCCAACGGAGACTCACACCCATAATCCCCTGCTCCCAGCTCTCCCAGCCAGCCCAGATCACGTGTGCACACACTCAGAATGTACAGGTTGACCCCGGAACTAAACCCATGATGTCCCACTTGGCGCCAACTTCTCTTAAACAGCGTGTTACAACTGCTGCACCTTGAGAGTTTACATTTAGGAGAAATGAGGTCCCAAGATAAATCCTGGCACTCAGAGGTAGAGATGTCAAGAGAGAAGAGACACCAGGAAAAGAAACTGAGAAAGCATAGCCAGGAAAGTGGGAGGAGAACCAGGAACGGGCATGGTCACTAAAGTCAAGGGAGAAAAATGATTTAAGAAAGAGCAAGTGATCACCTGTGCCAAATACTACTGAGAAGTCATAACCAAGACTGTGATTATCGTAAGGCAAATCTAATCATGCTGTTCTTCCTTAAAATCAATGTTTTCCCCATGCACTGTGGTCAGGAATCCCTCCCCCAAATCCTCACACTTATGCTCTCACATAGACCTAACAGGGTATCTCTTAGAAAAACCTATGTGCTCTGACTCCTACCTCCTCTCCACCCTCGACTGTATCACTGCCCTTGCTGTTCTCTAATACTATACTCTTTCCAGATTCTCAGATAGGTTCCAACTATCCACAGCAAGGGCTCTCAAAGTTATCCTAAAGCTATCTTACATTAATTTGGGTTTCAATTTAAATATCATTTTCTCAAACCTTCCCAGATGATCAAGGGCTCTTTTTAGTTTCCAGAGCACACCCTATGCATTTCCATACTAACTGCCACATTAACAGTAAGTAATTCCCCATGCTTCTTTCCACTAGTCCCCAGGTTCTCTGAGGGCAGGGACATGTTTCCCTTATATGTACATGCTTCCCTGGTGCTTACCTCTATGCCAACCGACACAAAACATCTGCTGATTGATTTAAATAATTATTCAGATCTATATTTCCTTTTTTTTTATTTTTATTTTTGTCATAGGGCACATCCCTCATAGGAAAGAGAGAGAGAAAGTAAGAAATCGTCCCCCAGAGGGGATGACCACTCTATAATCCCTTCTCCATCCTCCTCTTGGGATTTTGGGCACACATGAATACATTCCAGTGCGATTTTCAAGTCTGGGACATGAACCACAGTCAGCCTTGTGGGAGTCCAGGGTATCTGCTGGCCCCATATCTGTATTTTTGGACATAGAAAGATGTTTACAACATAATGAGGGGTTTTTTTTATAAAAAAAAAAAAGATCATGTTGGGCTTGTTTCATAGCCTAATGGTTAAGATCTGCAGATCCTGCTTAGCTGACCACAGTTCAGATCCCAGCCTTGGAAGCTTGAAAAACACACCAGCATGTGAGCATTCCAACAGGATGGAGAAAAACACACCAGCATGTGAAAATCCCAACAGGATGGAGCAAAGAAGAGATTGCAGTATGACCATGCCCCACTGGACTTCTCTCTCTCCCCCCCCATCTCTCTCTACTTGCTACCCCAAAAAAAGACTTTGGGGGCCAGCATGGGGGTTAAGGCAACTAGATCCCATATGGTCAACTGTGTGGTTCAGGTCCTTGATCAGCAGCTTGAGAAATGCACTGGGGGCCCTGTGTGCATGTCCAAAATCCCAAGAGGAGAACAGAGGAGAAGCATTAATTTCTCTCTCTCTCTCTCTCTCTCTCGCATATGTGACTTAAAACAACAAAATCAGGAAAATTGACAATTACTAATTTGGAAAAGTGTAAAGAACTGTGTCAGAAATTGCCATAGACTGTGTCACTGCACATTGGTTAAATTAGTAACTATCATGAAATAATTCAAATGCTCACATATAGCCATGAGTGAAAAACTCAGGTTATAGAATGCCACATACGGCTTAGACATAAACATACACAAGAGATATCTGGAAGGCTGTTCACTAAACTGTGGACACTAACCTAAGTGTTCAAACACTTTTAATGATTTCCCCTATTTGAAAACCTTAAATCTATAATTTTTTACCAAAGAGTCTAACTAAATGTCTATAAACTTCTCTACCCAATATAGAAATCATTTTCAAAGCAAAAACGGTACATATAAAATATTTTTATAGTTTTTGTCAAAATTGCTGTTTAAGAAACTAAGCATAAGTCTGAATGGTACACTGCTATTTCAAATAAACTGAAGTATAGACCTTCACAATTCTACTAAAGCATTCTTGGTGTTTGGCACAAGTAGCAGGTACTAGAAGCAGAATTAGTAAAGCATTAAGATTACATAATCACAAGTATTATTGTGCTTTGAAGCTAGCTTGTCATTGCACAGAAAAAAGCAAAAAGCCACCTAGTGAAAGGGTATTCATTTTGTGTTTACAATTACCTTTCTTGAGAATACTTATTAGTGCAGAAAAAAAATTATACATTTCTCTGAACTTGTAGAAAAGCAGACAGATATATTTTGAAAAGGTTAAGCTATGTTTAGCAAGGTAATCCTCAAGAGATGGATGCTAGAGAATTAAATATTCAGTACTTAAATTAACTTCTTATTTGGTACTTATGAACAAATTGCCAAGAATTATCATCATCAAATAGAACGTTTATTGACTCTCTCAGAAAAAGAAAGTGAGGTCTACTTGAAGAAAAAATTTTTTCAATTGGAAAAAAAAAAACAGCATTTTTAAGACTTCACACGAATAATAGTAATTGTAGGACCTCAGAAAGATGCCTGGTTGCAGAGTGCTAATAGAAATGGGTCAAAACAGTATAGTTTCATGGCTACCAGATTATGTTTATGTTTTATTTTCCTTTTATGTATTATTATTTTTTTATTTCAATTTTCTATTCCTAGCTCTTGGCTTTTAAAAGACATTCCAGGGCCAACAGATGGTATAGTGGTTAAAGTGCTGGATGCCACATAAACTGACTCTGCAGTTCAAGTCCTGGACCCAGTAGCGTGAAAAACACAGTGGGCACATATTCATGTGCACCCAAAATCAAGAGAAGAGAATGGAGGAGAGGAGACTGCAATGCAGTCATACCCTAGGGAGTAATTTTTTACTTTCCCTCTCTCTTTGGCTCTCTCTCTCTCTCTCTCTCTCTCTCTCTCTCTCTCTCTATGGCAAGCACATGAGTCCTACAGGAAAAAAAAAAAAACTAAAAACAAAAATAAAAAAGTCTGTCATATCTACCAGAGACACTGGAGCCACTGTGAAATTCCAAAATTCTTCATGTAAATTTTTTTCAAAAATTTACCAAACATGGACATAATTAAAACTAAAAGACTATAGATGTATAAAATTATAATTAGCAAATAAATCCAAAAAAAATTTGCCTGAATAGAAAAAAATCATGAGAATGTCCTCCTTTTAGGAATTCAGATTGTCATTCATTGTTATTATTAAATACTGAAAACCAGGTGATTTCATAACACAGAAAAATGCAAGTAGACTGTTCTAATTTTTACTAAACATCAAGTTTGAGGAAACTGGTTCAGAATATATAATGAAAAGCGTGGATAAGTTACTAATAATTTTTTATAGTATATTTAAGAGTGATCTTTTAGGGACTGGCAGATGCTGTGGTGGTTAAGTGCACTGGACTCCCACATGGTTGATCGAGGTTCGAGTCCCAGATCTAAAGGCTTGCTTTCTCACTTTCTTTCTCTCTCTCTCTCTCTCTGGTCAAATTAAAATAAATAAATAAAGTAAATAAAATAATTCTGTACAAAAAAGGGTGATTTTTAACATATTATTCTCAAATATCTACTTAAAATATAATATTGAAAAAGTTTCAGTCTAATATATTTAATATTTTCAATATTCTTAACATGTGTGGTAGATGGCTTTTTAGGATTCCTACCTGCTACTTCTGAAAGATAAGAGATTCTAGAGCTTGCATTCTCAAAGGACAGATGCTATCACTCCCTAGGGGATGAAAACTGGTACTTTCGTGGGGTGGAGGGTGGGGTGATAAAAGTTTACTCTTTTTATGTATAAAGCACAGATGTACATATACTACCAAAGACAGATACACAGTGTTGGGGGTACTAAAATTTAATCTAGAGAGATGATTAAGGTAAAAAGTCTTAAAAGTTTCTTTAAGGGGATGTTGAGAAAAACTGAGTTAGGCACACCTGAATTCTAATAAGGAAACATATGGAAAGCACAAAGCACAGTGCTTAGAATATTCCTCTACATAAATGTTATCTCCTTTTCCTTTTCTCTCCTGTCATCTTTAAACTCTTTATCAAAGAACATGCAAATTTCAAAGCAAAGAGAAACACATAGAAGTGGGATGAACTCCCAGAGACGACTTTTGGACAAGATCCCTGGACTCAAGTATGCTCAAAGATTAAATCTAGTTCACAAGACTTGGTTTATGTACTAAGTATGCATTTTTGGTTTTGTTTTTAAGATTTTTTGTCATAGAGCATGGGTACTCACCAGAGAGAGACACACACACATGAGAAATCATCTCCTAAAAAAGATGGTCACGCCACAATCCCTTCCCCTCCATTCTCCTCTCAGGATTTTGGAGGCACACATTTGCCCAGCTTGATTTTCAAGTTACCAGGTCCAGGGCTTGAACTATGGTCAGCCAGGTGGGAATCCAGTGCATTAACCACCACACCATCCCATACCACCTGCTGGACCTATTGTTTTTTTAATTCTAGAAATGTAGAATTAAATTAAACTAAATTTCTTAAGTTTTAGGAGCTTCCATTTTCACATCTGTATTCCAGAATCATTACAGAAAAAAAAATGAGAATGTATATAAAATTCTTTGAGAACTAGACTACTAACCTACCTGATGACGGGGTTTGGTTGTTGTCACTACTGTCAAGAAGCAGGGATGCTGACCTAGACTAAGTAGGTCCTGGAAAAGCAATGGAAAAGAACACAAACTGCCCCTCTCTAATGGCCACAAACAGAATCTAGTCTTCAAAACTTAAAACCTAGAGGTAGAATCTTTGATCATTTGCATCTAGTTTAAAACAAAATCAACAGTGGAACTCTTACTTGTCTCTTTGCTCTTCGTCTATAATGCAGTCATCTAAGAAAGATGTTCCAAGTACTTCAAGGAGGGTGTTGTGGCCTCTCTTGTCGGCAGTGTGATACACGCGAGAGGCCAGGTGCAAGTCAAGTGGCAGCCCTTGGGCTGGGATGGTGGCGCACAGATCATGATGATGAGGTGTGAGGTGGTCTTTTGGAATTCTGCAACAGAAAAAACAGACTGAGCATCTTCTATCATTTTGTGATCTTTAGATATAAAATAACTTCATATTAGGACTTTAGTTCAGGCTCTAAAAAAGGATATCTAAATGTAGAACATTAGATTTAAAATTATAATGATAATTTATACACCAGATTTAATATCACAATCTCAAGCCCTTGTCCAGAGCTTCAGACTCATAACCAACTGCCTATGTTGTCTTTCAGACACCTCAGAATCAACAGGTTCTACAAGCAAACTCATTATCATTCCACCCCTAACCTTTTCTCCCCTGAATTCTGTAGTTCTGTCCAGGGACACCCAATCCAGCTGTCAGAAATTATTCCTCTGCTACTCTACTCAAATGCTAACATCTGTCCCTCAAGAAGGAAAACAATATAGTAGATTAGCCTTTAACAAGCATCAAGGGAACCCTAGGTCTAAGTCAGTGTGGCATCTTCCTACCCATTTTGCTGGAACTTGCCTCTCTTCTGACTTCCCTGAGGAGGAACGAGGGCATGGAGATCTTCTTTCTTTATTCCCAGGGTCACTTACCAATCAATGAACAAATACTTATTGTGCATCAGTGTGCCATGTCCTGTGCTAAGTGCTGTGTGTCCTCTTTCACACCCACAGTGAACCTATACAGGAGCTGCTATCATCCTTATTTTGGAGCAGGTTTATTTGGCTAGGTTACAAAATTCATGGGTGGCTACTGGGATCCAACCACAGTGTTATGAGCTACATTAGGCTGTGTAGTGCCTATTTCTATTGGGTCTACTCATGACGACTAAGTGGGAGCAGACTTTACTCAATACTACTCCATTCCCACCTCCCTGAGAGTATAGTCTAAGCTATACTTTTATATTAGCCAAATACTTTTTCATCAAATCAAGTCAGACAAAACATCTTGGATGCCTTGTCCTTCGCCTACATATTCAACATAAAATTAAGTTTCTCCTCTGTGTAGGGTGTTCAGGTGTGCTCCTTCTCGATCCTTACTGCTAGCATTCTTCAGTCCAAGTCCCTTAACCTGAGGTGCATAGGCGAAGGTCTGCCAATTAGGTTGAGTACTGCACCCTCTGACTCTTCCCCTCTGCAAAACTCTACCAAATTGGTCTTTAAGTATGTCTGTACCTAGCACTAAAGTCCTTCATTGCTTACTGTGTCTGTCTAACTTCCTCTAAGTTTCCAGGTTTCTAGGATCTTGCCTCACTTCTAGTATAGTGCTTAAGAGTGTAGACTGCCTCTGTTCAAATCCTATTTAAAACTTGCACTTAGTCATAAGCAAGTTAAGTTAGTTTCTCCATGGCAATGTCAAGTTAGTTCCTATCCAGGACAAATCACAGGACTAGACCTATTAGTTCCTTTGGTTAGGGATGGAGTGCTGTCTACTCCTTTGCCTATGTCCGAACATCCTTCAAGCAATATCTCAAGAGAGACATCGCTGCAAAGTTTTTATTTTTTCTTTCTTATAATTGTCTCTTTTCAGGACCAGCAAATGGCATAATGGTTACATTGCTGGACTCCCACATAGTCGACCACGGTTCGAGTCCCAGATCCGACAACTTAAAACTCATACTGGGCATGCATGCCCAAAGTCCTGAGAAGAGAATGAAGGAGAAGAGATTGTGATGTGCCCATCCCCACTAGGGGGGTGATTTCGTGCTCTCTGTCTCTCTGTTTCTTCAGTAAGCACAAGTACCCTATAGCAAAAATCTCTCAAGAAAAAGTGTCTCTTTTCATAAGTTGCCCTTATCTTGTGCCACCCAGTTGACCCTTTCTCTAGTGGGTTAATGCTGTTTTGTCCACTCACTGCTTCATGTGTCTGGAGCTACCTCAGGCAGTAGTATAGTAAAAACGATACAGACTTCGCAATTGGCTAGACTTGGATCAGAATCTCAGTTCTAACACTTGCAAACTGTATTACTGGCTTCTCTGAAAGTCTTCTGAATAATAAGAATAAAAATCCCTAACTTAACTTGTAAAAGAACTGATTAAAAATAACATAAATCATCCCCCAACTGTGAAAGTCTGTCAATAAATACTTCTTTTTCGTAATAATTTTTAAATTAATTTGCACTGCACGGCATCTAACCCATTGCTAGGTACAGTGTGCATATTATTAAATCATTACTAGAGAGTGTTTTATGGCATTTCCTAAAACATCATAGGCCCAATAATAACATGACATGAAATCTGTTCACGTTTAAGAGAGAGAGGAAAAGAGAGGTAAATCTAAAGCATTTGAAATGCCCGAGACAAAGAGATCCAGTAGACAGGGGAAGAGGTGCCCAGAAAGCCATGGCTCCTAACCACTCTGAGTTCCTAAGAAAGAGCTTTAAGAGAGAGAGAGAGAGAGAAAAGAAAGAGTAAAGAGAAAAAGGTGAGCTCTGATACCAAGCTCGAACTCTGATATCAAACTCACCTACAATCAACATTCTTCCTGGGACACATCATAGCTAGAGGAATGTGTTTGAGATGACATTGCTGATTTTGATTTTTCTTAAGAAAGCCATTATAACCAACCTAACTCGTATGTTCCCACAAAGATCAGCAAGCAAATCTCCCTTGGTTATAGAGTTAAATAACAAAATGTTGCAATGGATGGAAGAATTAAATTTTTTTTTTTAATTGTGGGCTAGTCAGGGGTGAGAAAAGTTAGGTAAGAAACTAAAGGGGAGAAAACAGTGAATAAAAAGGCTTTCAGAAACATTTTCCCAAGATTCTCTTTTATTACACAATTTTTTTAAGTACTAGATTTTTATCCTTCTGGGTCTCATTCTTATTTCTCTTTAATAGAAATTACTAATTTTGGTTTCAAATCATTGCAACAGTACCATATATATCAATAAGATCTACAAATATTTTTGGCATGCTCAAGAAGATCTGTGTGTTTTTATAGTACACTCTCCTTAAAAAGGACTATTTGTCATTCTTTGAAACACTAAGACATAAAAAAGAAAAGACTCTGGCGCTGTGTGTGGCCATTCTACTTTGCTTAATGCACTAAATGCAAGGTTTTTTTAAGAAAAAAAATCAAGAAGTTTCTGCTTCATTGATAATCTGACAGTAACTATTTATTGAAGGTAAAATACTTGTTGTCTGCTCTCACTGTTTGTTTTAATACATAATCTTGCTAACTAAATGAGTTTTAAGCAATGCAGATAAGCAATGGCATGTACAGGGTCACTTAAATGCCAATTTGACTGTTTCATAAACTTTGGAATTCTTTTCCCATGAGGCTATTCTCAGCTACTAAATTGTGCGTAATATCCATTTACAAAGTTTAGGCTGGTCATAAAAAGGTGGTCTTCCATGTCCAACACGCCTTTCAGTGCCCTAAGCAACAACAAAAGCTAATAATTAAAGCTTCTTGAAATCCCCGTAAAGAGTTAAATGAAAAAACGTCTAGGATAAACCAGCCCATTAAAAACCTAGTGGTGAAATAAAGAAAAACAAATCAGGGTTTCAACAAGATGAATGGCAAAAGGCAAACCTTAATCAAAATTTCATTTTCACACTCTCGTTCAAAATTGTTGAATGCCTGTGTAATAGGAAACTCCATTAAAAATACACACAGGAGGATAAAACATAAAATAAAGCAGAAAAAAATCCATCTAAATTACCAGATTGGCTTATGGGCGTTTTGTGTTGTCTTTTGTTTTACCATAACGAAACTAACCAATATAGTAACTACCTAATCCAGATCAAGAACTACAGTGAACAAAAATATCAAATCTAACATATTAACATTTAATTTTCTTTAGTCTTATTTTATTCTAGCTACCATTGCACCATTAAAGTACATTTGTCCAGATAGAAAAGAAAAAAAGCATGGAGTAGGGCCAGCAGGTGCCATGGTGGTTGAAACACTAGATTTTTCACATGGCCGACCACAGTTCAAGTCCAAGCCCCACTGGCTTGAAAATCACAACAAATAAATAGATAAGCAAATAAAAAAAGTTTAAATGTTTAAAAAAAATAAAACATGGAGTATAGTACCACATATATCCTAACTGTAAAATCTGCCACCCACTTTTCTTATGGCAAGGTTTAACTAGGATCTCATATAGAAATGGCTATTTAAGTTTCTAAAACATTTAGTTTTGCTTTTGAAAATACATCTTCACGTATTAATGCTACTGAATAAGTTATCTTCTATAGTAAAATTTGTAAATTTAAAAGAAGTTACTTTTTCTGTAGATTTGGATCCCAAGGGGGTTTTAAAGACTTTCTTGGTCTCTGTGGTAGAGTTTCTAATTTACTTCTTTGTATTTGCTTAATTTCTTTTCCTATGACATGTAAGAATTCTGATGACTTCACCTTAAGAAAAAAGATACATTGTTCAGGGAAGACATAACATTAAAATGAGATCTTTTTCTCATATTTAATGGTGTATTTCATTTTTAAAATTCTGATTGCTCTGTATATTTTATAACAGAATATAAATCCTGAAGGTGAGTTGATATTTTCTCTAAATCCACCCTGAAAACTATACGTACACTGGGGCTAGCAGGTGGTGTAGTGTTTAAGGCACTGGACTCCCACATGGCAGATCATGGTTTGAGTTCTAGACATGATGGCTTGCTTTCTCTCTTTGTCTCACTCTGGTCAAATTAAAAATAAATAAATAAATAAATAGTAAAAATTTTGTAAATGTACATATATCTCTTTATAGTAATAAAAATATGAATACCATATTTATTTATATTTTATCTATTACCTTAAAATTATTTAAAAAGAAACATAAGACTTTTCCTTCCATAAACCTATTCTTGATTCATATTTTCCATAGAACTTACCCTTTAGTTTCTTAACATCTAGTATTACTAGTGGTAATAAACACAAGCTGAAAGAACTGTTTTAAATAACTACAAGGGTCTTCAAAAAGTTCATGAAAAGGCATATTATGGAAAACTGTGCCTGCATGTACCAAAATAAACTTGTAATTACATAAACTTTAATTATAAAATAAACTTTAATTACATTTCCCATAAACTGTTTGAAGTGTCCTTGCATTTTGAGCAATATTTATCAATTTATACTTCTTCTATTTATTTTTTTGAGAGTTTTTTGCTATAGGGCGCGTGCACTCGCCAGACAGACAGAGAGAGACAGAGAGAGACAGAAAGCGAGAAATCACCCCCCATGGAGGATGGCCACGACTCAATCCCTTCTCCTCCATTCTCCTCTCGGGATCTTGGGCACGCACACACATGTACCCAGTGTGAGTTTAAGCCGCTGGGTCCGGGACGCGAACCGCGGTCGGCTACATGGGAATCCAGCGACATAGCCATTACGCTAACTGCTGGTCCCTCAATTTATACTTCTTATAGCTATACTTCTATTACCATTGCTTAGCTTGGCAAGCACATTGTCTCATAAATAATTGTGAAAATTGTATTAGGAGTATTGTTACCTAGATGTCCCAGAAAATTTGCAGAATTCATGATAATTATTCATGTAAAAATATTGTTTCCTATGTATTGCTCTGTATTTTTCTTTCTTTTTTTTGTTTTTTTGTTTTTATTTTGTTTTTTTCTTTTGAGTGAGAGACAGAGAGACAGGAGAGGGAGAAAGCACTTCATAAGGGGGTGTAGTCACAGTACAATCCCTTCTTTTCTATTTTTCCAACCTACTGGGATTTGGAGCATGCACACAAATACAACTATCATGTTTTTCAAGTCACCATGACCTGGATTCAAACTGGAGTTGGCCATATGGAATCCAGCTCCCTTAACCACCATGTGATGGGGCTGGACTTATTCTGCATTTTTTTGTTGTTGTTGTTGAGAATAAAGAAGGAATCAGAGAAGACTTTCTTAGGATAAACAGAGAGATATGGTTGAATAAGTAGGAAATGACCAAATGAAGAAAAGTTCTTATTTATTAGGTAAGGACTTGGGGCTTAAAACTATATTAAGGAGAGAGCTACTACCATTTTTTTGGATAAAGAAATGATGACAAATAAGAAAGGTAAGGCGTGTAGAGCATTCCGTTTCACCATCCAGTCAGTGTTTGAATCTTCTCTACAGTATCTCCAGCACATGTGTATTGTCTGGTTTGAAATGGTTAGGAAGAAAGAATTTGGATATTTTGTCAGGAACAGAAACTTGGATATTTTCCTTCCCACATTCTTCCAGTTGTTTGAAATTCTGTTTCCTAATCATGGAGCCTAACAATTTTCATCCATCAGCCTCAATTCAAACTTCAGAAACCATATAGGCACAACCCAGCTCTCTTCCATGTGGCAGACAGTTAAATATTTAAATACAGTTGGCAGGGCCAAGAGGTAGCATGGTGATTAAAGTACTGGACTTTCATGTGGTCAACAGCAGTGGAGTTCTGGATCTGGCAGCTTGAAAATCACACTGGGCCTGTGTGCTTGTGTGCCCTAAATCCCAGGAGGAGAATGGAGAAAAGACTGTGGCATGGTCATCTCTCTTGGAGAGTGATTTCTCACTTTCCCTCACTCTGTCTCTCTGGCAAGCACATGTACCCTATGGCAAAAGCCTGAATATATACATACATACATATAATGGGCTTCACTGGACCTACTTTTCCCTCATAAACATCCCCAATTCCTTTCACTCTACCTTACACGACATGATTTTGAAATACTGTTCTTTGTCATCTTGAGTACTCTCATCCAGTATCTAATTTTTCAGACTCCCTCCTAAGGATGGACACCCAAGTTTGAACACAATATTTCAGGTGATATGATCAGATCAGACAGGACAAAGATGGTCCTATTTTATGATATTTTTCAATAAATGCAAACTGTGATTGCATGTGGCATCCTATCAAGAAGAAAGTACATTATAGCCTGAAAACCCTGAAGTCTTACACATTTTCTTTTATGTTCTATTATTTCATATCTACACACGATGGACTCAAAGGCAGGACCATAAATATACATTTATCCCAATTAGACTTTATCTGAGGTCTGACTGATCAATCAAATCTTACAGTCATATTTTGGATGCTATCTGCAAAACAAATTGGCAAGTCTTCATATTTTCATCCTGATTATTAGAAAATACATCGAATTGAACACAGTCTATTAGGGACTTTCACAAACTAATTATGCATCCTTTTTATAACTAATTAGAAATCCATCTGGCAGTTCACCTGACCACAATCTCATCTACAAAACTATTAAAAAGCTTTCATAAGTGGATTGCTGATAATTCTGATGATAATAGCAGTAACTAATATTTATGGAGTTTTCTCTGTGCCAAGCATTGTTCTAAGTCTTTATACCACGGAATCTACATAAAATCCTAACAACAACATGAGATAGGCATTGTCATTGACTTCATTTTATAACACAAGCATATAAGTGTAAAAGTGCATGGAGAGCATTCACTCTGTGAAGTCTAGCTCCAAAGCCTGTGCTCTTCCCATGATACTGCTTTGTTGACACTACGTCTGCCATTGTTACAATGTCCAATCTGGTAATTCTAGGCAAAGAAATGAGGTTTGTTTTCTGTGACATGTCCTTAGGGGACCTATGCTCTGAGTGATTATTGCTTTCTTTCATAAATGTTCAAACACAATTCCCTTAATGGGTCATTTAAGCAATCCAGAGTTGTGTCCAAGATCAATACATGGATTTCAGACATTACAATACTTGGGGCCAGCAAATGGCATAGCGGTTACATCGCTGGACTCCCATATGGCTGACCACGGTTCAAGTCCTAGACCTGGTAGCTTCAAACTCACACTGGGCACATGTGCATGCGCACCCAAGGTCCTGGGAGGAGAATGGAGAAGAAGGGATTACAGTGTAGCCATCCCCACTGGAGGGTGACGTCTCACTTTCTGTCTCTGCTCTGTCTCACCTCTATGCCGCTGATGAGTGCACATGCCCTATAACAAAAATATCTCTTAAAAAAAAAAGGTAAAAGAAATCACAACACTTACCCTTAAAAAATAAATAAATAAATAAAGTCAGGGACCAGCAGTTAGCTAATGGCTATGTCGCTGGACTCCCATGTAGTCAACTGCGGTTCGTGTCCTGGACCTGGTGGCTTAAAAACTTACGCCGGGCTCATGTGCGTGCATGTCCAAGATCCTGACAGGAGAATGGAGGAGAAGGGATTGCAGTGTGGCCATCCCCCCTGGGGGGTGATTTCTCACTTTCTGTCTGTCTCTCTCTGTCTGTCTGGAGAGTGCATGCCCCCTATAGCAAAAACCTCTCCATAAAAAAAAAAAATCAGAGTGTGGGACCTGCAGGTGGCATGGTGGTTAAGATGCTGGAGTCCCACATGAGCGACTGTGGTTCGAGTCTTGTATGTGACAGCTTGCTTTCTCACTTTCCCACTCTCTCTCTGTTTCTCTCAGGTCAAATTAAAATATATATAATAATAATAGTAATAAACAAAAAATTAAAATACATAATTCTTTTAAAAATCAGACTTTTGCAGATGCTAGTCTCCAGTTTCTACAATAACATCTCTCCCCCTATAGCAGCTTCTAAAAGCTGCTGCTGACAGGGGAGCAACAGGCTTCCATCTATCCATCTGAACCCACAGGCTCAGGTATCTAAGTTAATTCTTAAAGTCTTTTCCAAATCCTGGGCTTTGAGTCTCTTTTATCAGTTTTTCTCTTCTTTCTAAACTAAAGATCATTCTTCTTGTCAGATTTAAGAGAAGCAAGGTACAAGTTTACCAGCTTCCTTTTCTCTTTGTCATATTCTGTTTATTTAAAACATCAACCTTTTCCAAAAATAAATTAAGGCAACTCTGTCATCTGTTGTCATCACACTATTTATCCATAATGACAGGGATATCTTTCTTTTTTGCCCCGACTCTGTTCCAAAACTAACATTAAAAATACCTTTTTGTTCTTAGCATTATTCACAGGCCTCAACCCATTCTGGATCTCAGCCTTCTCGGTATAATTGTTATAGTCACATGGCACTTAACGTTTATCTAGGTGTGTATGTCTTCTTTCATCTTTTGAATATGTTTAAAATTCTGAATGCAATAGATCACTCCTAATTTAGTAAAAATTCAGGAGGATTTAGGACATCCACACCTTTTAAACTTTCTTCCATTTAGAAACTCAGATCAGGTGATCAAATCTGTATTTTCTACACTTTTACTGTAAAATATTTTTACTGAAATGTTCCCTTTTAAGATGCTCAACAACCCTTTCACTGGTGGTTGTATCACTCATTTCCTCACAGGGCCACTGTTATTTCTGCTTAATCTTTTTTGTTGGTGGTCATGACTCAGACCAAAGCACTAGTGACCTTTATTATACTAATGAGCTGCTAACAGTAGAAATAACCGTAAGTAAGTAAGGACTGATCAGAGGCTCTACTTTATTTTGCTGAACAAGACCCTCCAACACAAATCTGAGCAGTTAAAGTCCTGCACCTTCCTTTACTGCTATGCTAGTTCTATTTATCGGCTATGCCAGAAAAGGTGTTCTTGTCTCCTCAAACAAGCCTGGCTTGCTGGAGTGTGTTGTTCCTCATTCCTGTGCTAGAGATACCAGAGACTAACTTTATGGTCTCAAATGTCCCTATGCACGGTAATGGATCATGGATAACTACTGATCTTGAGATGTTACCACAAATCAGTAAATACACAATTCTTGCTAAAGACTTGGTTTCCGATGTGTTCCACGTACCCCACAATAATAAACCAGAAAATCTCGATAGACATTCTCCTTTCCCCTTAAAGGTTTCAGTTAGAGAAACCTGCATTCTTCTTCGTTTTGAGAGGGACACTCTACCCCTAGTCATTTTTGTAGCTAAGGGTGTGTTCTTGGATTTAACCAGAGATCTGTTACTTGTTGTTATGAAAGGGTAGTGTCATAAAGTGGTTTTAAAAAATGAAGATTCCAGATTAAACAACTTCAGCTCAGTTCACATGCTGCCTCTACAATTCAACTAGACATCTGTCCTAGGGCAGCTACTTACATTCTCTGTGATTGTTTTTCAACTATACAATGAGGGTAATCATAGCATTATTTTAAAAATATAGGGAGGCATTTCGCAAAGTATCCGGCACATGGCAAACTCTAAATAAATTCTAATTACCTTAGGACAGGACTCCTACTTTTAACAAAAACACAAATAAGTTTGCATAATTTCTTGAATATTAGAGGACTTCAAAATGTTCATAGAAAATGGAATTACAGCATAAATTTATTTTGGTACCCAAAAAATTCTGAAGTCCATGCATAGTTTTTTCATCTGCATTTTCCACATACTTTTTGAAAGTTTGTGTTTAACAGTAGATATATAAGCCCCCCAAAATTAACATCATAGGACTTTTCTGGTCTAGCAGGTGGCATGGTCGTTAAGATGCTGGATTCCACGTAGTTGACCGTGATTCAAGTACTGGACACGGAGTCTTAAAATCATGTCAGACTCATGTGTGTGCAGGCCCATAACCCCAAGAGGAGAATGGAGGAGAAGGGACTGCAGTGTGGATATCTGCCTTGGAGGGTGGTTACTCACTTTCCCTCTCTCTATCTCTCCCTCTGTGTCTCTGGAGAGCATACACACCCTATGGCAAAAACCTGAAAAAAAAAAAATTACACTACTTTTCTAAAAAGCAACCTAAATTTCTGTCAAAAGCAATTAAGCCACTGTCCAGAAAATCCATTTCATTCTTTGACACACTTAGTAGTTAACCCTTTGCCTCTGATGGCCAGTTTACTTCCAAAATCCCAATGTTCAGGTGGAAGAAAAAATAAAAACACTACCTCCATCCCCACTAGCTTAACACATTTTCATCAGATGCCATAGTCTAAAGAGTCCTAGAAAGTGTCAACCTAGAGTACAGAATTCACACAGAGTAGTAACAAATAGTAGGATCCCTTACCCTGGGCAGGTTTCACTTCATACTCCAAAAGCATGCTTCAGAAAGACAGCATGATTTTCAGTGCAGCTGGTCACTAACCACAAGGTAAGTCCAACTCCCTGAAAGCTGTTGCGAGTGTTCCCTGATCACCCATTGCTTGTGGTTCTTATTGCCTACAATTCCCTCTAGAGCAATAGGCCAGTGTCATACGGGATGAACCTCAAGAAACAGGGCTTACAAAATGAAGAAAAACCAAGAGGTGACTGCACTAATCCAAACATAGGTCACCAGGACCCAGACTAGAATGGAAGAAACTGAAAAAGAGAAGGAAAAATACATAAGCAATGTCTAAGAACAATCTAGGCCTTGAAGATTGATTATATGTGAAAGGTAAGAGAAGGAGAAAGTCATGGGAAAAATCCAGGTGTCAGAATTTAGTCTTGGGCTAAAGTTGAAGAAGTGATAATGGCCAGTTGATTTGGGTAAAGCATAGTAGGAACATATGGGGAACATGGAGGGGAGAAAAGACCCCAAGGAGGACTGACCAGGAAGACTGAGCCATCCATTTGACCCTGTTAAGGAGATCTCCAAGGATAAACAGATGTTACACTGTGGTTTAAGGAAAAGGGGCATTTTTTTAAAAAACATTCTAATAATAATATATCTATTTTTAAATAAATATATTTACTAAATCAAAAAGTGATTGACTTAAATTAAAGTGTTAGGGACAAGCAGATGGTGTAATGGTTACATTGCTGGACTCCCACATAGTCAACCACAGTTCGAGTCTTGGACCCAATGGCTTAAAAGTCATGCCAGGCATCTGTGCATGCATGCTCAAGATCCCAAGAGAAGAATGGAGGAGAAAGGATTACATCGTGGCTATCCCCTCAAGGATGATTTCTTGCTTTCTATCTCTCTATCTCTATGGTGAGTGCACATGCCCTATAACAAAAATCTCTCTAAAAAAAAAATTAAAGTATTAAGTAGATAATGATGTGACAATATACATACATAATATGAATTATTAAAATGTTACATAAATAAAATTAATCTGGGAAACATTTTTACAATAGGAAAAGACTGGGGTGAGGATAAACCTAAACAGAGAAAAGCTAAAAAATTCATCTAGTCCTGCTTCCTGGACCAGTTCCTAATTACTGGAAGGCTCTGTCAGTTTTGAAAAGATCTGAGGTTTCTTCTTTCCTTGAAAATCTGTCTCCTCCTCCTGGAGCAACAATTAGAGTTGAAACTAAAATCCCACTAAAAAAAAAATAAGTAAAATGGAGAATTTGACTTCTCAGGCTCCTGTTTCATGGTGAAACACCCCCACCTGGAGCACCCCAAACCTTGGTCCTTGCCGTGACCATTTCTTCACACCTATACATCCTCAACTCTCATAACTCTGCTTCCAACATGGTTTCTTACCTTTACAGGTGCCTCCTTGGCTACTTTTGAATCACTTCCAGACTCTTGTTTTTCCAAAGGTTTACTTGGTTCTTCTTCTGGTTGAATTTCTGAAGTTTCTTGAGGTTTAAGTATTAGGCTTCCTGCTTCTGAAGCTCCCCATTCAGATGCATCCTCCAGTTCAATCTGAAAAATACTTGTTGTAGCTTCAGGAACCTCCTCCACCATGCTCTGTTGGGAAAAGTTAAGTGTACAATGTTTTTTAATTAATTCTCCCGAAGTTTTCAGTTATGCATCATTCTCTTTTTTTATTCTTTTTTTTTTTTTGAGAGGTTTTTGCTATAGGGTGTGTACACTTGCCAGAAAGATAGAGACAGAGAGACAGAAAGCGAGAAATCACCCCCCAGGGAGGATGGCCATGCCACAATCCTTTCTTTTCCCTTCTCCTCTCAGGATCTTGGGCACACACGCACAAACACCTGGCATTAGTATAAGCCACCGGATCCAGGACTCAAATCATGGCCGACTACATGGGAGTCTAGCGACATAGCCATTACACCAACTGCTGGTTCCTATGCATCATTTTTTATCTGATAACAAAATGAATATAAAAATGCTATTTGAAATTATCCTCAGGGAATAAATGACCCAGAGACATAAGAAAGACTATCCACACCCCAGATGCATCCCAAATCCAAATGAAAAATCCTCACAAAACATCATACCCATACCTGTTTTGTATTCCTTCAAGATCCATTGTCTTATATTTGTATCTGTTAAGTCTTAAGGATGGTGTCTTTATAGCTATATTTGGGTTTTACCCAATTTTAAACTAAGATTATTTGGAATTATGTGGTACTGGTAATTAAAACTTCACTGTCTTGAATTAACAAACAATATAGCTAGCTTAATTTATATAAAAGTCTAAGTCATATGCAACAACTTTAAAATGCAATTGCTTCGTATTTTCTTTGATACATTTATTTGCTAATTAGTAAAATAAAGATAGCATCCAGTACAAATACTACATAAGTTTTACTTTTCATGCAAGAAGAAACAGCTGAAATTTAAGTTTGTAAAATTAAACTTTAATCTTGGGCTTATATTTTTATAAAGCTAGTGGATGGTATTAGGAAACAATTAAGAGCTTTGTAACCAGATGGTACTGAATTCAAATCCTGGATCTGTCAATTTACACATTTGATCTTGGTAAAGTTATTAAAATTACTTTATCATCATTTTTTTCCTTTTTCACTGTGTTGAAATTTGCACTGATGATGAAAAAGCAGTGGTGAGGGACCAGCAGTTGGCATAATGGCTATGTCACTAGACTCCCATGTAGTCAACTGCGGTTTAAGTCCCAGACCCGGTAGCTTAAACTTACACCAGCGCGTGCGCTCACCAGACAGACAGAGAGAGACAGAGAGACAGAAAGCGAGAAATCGCCCCCCCAGGGGGGATGGCCACGCCACAATCCCTTCTCCTCCATCCTCCTCTCGGGATCTTGGGCACGCACGCACACATGACCGGCGTGAGTTTAAGCCACTGGGTCCGGGACTCGAACCACGGTCAACTACATGGGAGTCCAGTGACATAGCCATTATGCTAACTGCTGGTCCCTTATCATCATTTTTGACATTGGTAAAAAGAGGTTAATAAAACCCTTTTCATAAAATAGCAAAGTAATATAATATTAAAATATCATTTTTCTTTTTCACTGTGTTGAAATTTGCACTGATGATGAAAAAGCAGTGGTGAGGGACCAGCAGTTGGCATAATGGCTATGTCACTAGACTCCCATGTAGTCAACTGTGGTTTAAGTCCCAGACCCGGTAGCTTAAACTTACACCAGGCGCATGTGCATGAGTGCCCAAGATCCCAAGAGGAGAATGGTGGAGAAAGGACTGCAGTGTGGTCATGCCCTCTGGGAGGTGATTTCTCTCTTTCTGTCTCTCTGTCTCTGTCTGTCTTTCTGGCAAGCGCACACACCCTATAGCAGAAATCCCTCCAATAAAAAAAAAAGAAAAGAAAAAGCAGTGGTAAATAAAACAGAGAGTCAGTACTTTAGTACAAAATCATACAGGGTAGAAGATTCCATCAAAGAGAAAGATAGACCAATGGATTTTAATGTAATGATACACAAGTTCGCATATCTGGCTTCAGATTACACATGGCAACTAATCTTTAAGAAACAATCACTTGTGGCATTTTAGTGCATTAACAAAGAGTGTCCACTACATAAAAGGACTGTTAAAATATGATTCCCTTTTCAATCTATGAGACCAGATTTATTTAATATACTTCAACCAAAATGACACATTATAACAGATTGTTATTATTATTTTAATCAATGAATAAATGCTTAAAATCTTTCCGTTTTTATTTTTAATATGGTAAATATTGGTTGATATAATATACGTAAAAGTTCTTTTGGGTCTTTAAAATAATTTTTAACATTATAAAGCCATCTTTAGGCCAAAGAGCTTGAGAGCTTCAAAACTTGAAAAGTTTGAGAACTTTTAAAAAGGAAATTCTGCTTTACTTTCTCCTAAATCTCAAGCACCTGGCATAATTTAGGAACTCTGCAGTTATTTGTGAATAAATCAATGAATAAATAAGTGAAAAGAATTCATTTCAATTTGTCTTCTACTATGTAATTGGTTTCTATGAGAGCATTCATTAAGTAGTGGTGTACTTTGTCTCTTTATGTAGTGGTCCACTCTTTAAATAAGTTCCTCCTGGTTTTTTTCTTTCATAAACCATGTCTAAAATTATGCCTGGCACATAACAGGAAGGAAATGAATGACCAAATTCCATGGCATTTTTATTGCTTTTTTTTCTTAGTGAACATGTGAGGAAATCACTCACCATGATGGTTCAAATACTGTTATATTCAAAATGGTGGGGCGACAGCCAGTGTTACAGTGATGACACTGTACGCTGTGATGCAGAGCCCACATGGGAGAGCTGCAGGATCACCCCAGGATCTCCCTGTACACACACCATGCACCCATGCATGCCCTTGATCTGAGCCAGTTCAGGCTGAGGGTGGATTGCAACACGAAGACCCTGTTTCAGAGTGAGAGGAAGGGTTCTTGTCTCTTTTCTCTGTCTCTCTGTCAGAAGAAAAAAAACTTTCAAAATCCTGTTGGGCACTTAAGAAGAAAAAGTATTCCATTAAAAATGTTCCTTTTAGGATCAGCAGACAGCATCATGGTTATGTCGCTGGACTCCCACATGGTTGACCGCAGTTCAAGTCCCAGACCCAATGACTTAAAACTCACTATGGGCACATGTGCCTGCATCCCCAGGATCCTGAGAGGAGAACGGGGAAGGGATTGCAACATAGCCATACCCCCTGCGGGTGCTGTCTGTCTGCTGTCTCTCTGGAGAGCACGACAGCCCTATAGCAAAAATCTCTCTTAGAAAAAAAAAAAAAATTAAAGTTCCTTTTTAAAAGGAAACAAATTGTATTAGAGAGCTCCTGCCTGTGGCACTGAGGTACTCACAACTGTCCACCATGTTCTGAGGCCAAGGTGCCAGATGCCACTTAGAAAGGGCCGACTCAGGCCAGAAGTGGTATGGTAAATGAAGCTCTGGACTCTCACATGGCCACCATGGTTCGAGTACCAGACCTGGCAACTTGCTTTCTCACTTTCCCTCCCTCTGTCTCTGTCTCTCTTTGGTAAGCACATATGCCCTATAGCAAAACAAAATAATAATCATAATAATAAATAAGTAAAATAAAATAAATATTTTTTTAAAAGAGAAAGGGCAGACTCTTCTGAGACGGGAAGATGCTGACCAGTGCTGACCAGCAACCTGCAGCCCAGGAATTACCAGGGGTGGCTTCCCTGGTAGTCCAAGGGACTGGTAGGATGAACATTCACTCTTCCCACAGTACGTATTAGGGACACAAAATATATTTCTGGAATGAAAGATACCACAGAAGATCCTTTATCCATGGCCAGATACCAAGTTAAGAGATATTACCTCTAGAGAGTGATAAGCCAGTGGCCAGAAGAGCTCCTGTGATTACTTGTAAGTATCAAAGCTGAGAGAATGGTTCCCACACAATTACAAAGAAATCAACATTTTAAACCTTCATTTGAAGTGATCAAGATAATGCCTAAGCTAGGTATCTGATAGTTGGCCTTTTTCATGGTCTCTTCAAAATGTTATCTTAACTTATACTTTACCTGAATGTAGTGAGTGCTACTACATCAAGTATATTCTATTAACAAGGATTTCTATTTCACAAAGCCCAGCTGAAATTGCATTTTCGGTTTACTATACCAACAGAGACTCAGAAATCAAAGGTCTTGATATCTCCCAGTAAATAGTGTCACCTCCTGGCAACTACCCTAGATATGAGTCTTAAAGATGTATGGTGAGTTTTCACAGCTGCCTTATCCACATACCATTATCATATGACTATTAGAGCCACCATGTGCTGGTCCTGAGGCAGGTGATGAGAAGACAATGGGAAAAAGACATGGCCTTAACCAGAAGTATCTTGAATTCTAGTAGTTTTATTATTTATGGTAACTAATATTAAAGGGTATATGGCTTTTAGGAAAAGAAAACAGCCCATATACTTTCTGAACATGATGTATTAGCTTAAAAATGAAGTACGATCTCAAATTTTATGTATATGGGTTGATATTTTCAGGAACTAAAGAATAGGATTTTATCAATCCACTGATAAATCAACTGATCATCATGCCATAATGTTTTTATGTAAATGTGGACTTCTACACATAGGGAGACACTTCACAATCACAGGGACTATGTCCCAGATTGCTCTGAATCCCACAAGAATTTTTGCCCATGATAGAAAAAAAGGAAACTATTTCTGAAACAGACTTCTGTCACTGTCCATACTTCTCAACAAAATTTTCTTTTGGTCAATGCTTTTAATAATTCTTCTATCTAAATACAGGTCAAAGTGATGTTTCCTTAGAAGCCAATAATTTTTAATTAATTCTCCAATTATTTTCTGGAACAACGTCTCTAAGCCAAAAGAGTTGTTAAAATTCTCTCTTTCTGAAGAGTTTGGGGCCTTAGTTCAGGTCTATAAAAGCCAGCAGCAGTGAGCAAAAGAACCAGGATGTCCAATGTGGTGTTGGAGTAGAAGTGCTTACACACCTCTAAAATAATACAGAGAAAAAAATTAAACTCTTTATATAAATGTTCAAGCCACAGTAGGCAGACTACTATTACTATCACTATTACTATTACTCTAATATAGAGAAGGAGGAGGATTTTTATTAAAGACTTTACCTCTTGAAGTTCCTCAACAGTTATCTCTATTCTTTGTTCTGTTTGCATCTGAGATGTTTTATGCCAATACATTTTTCCCGTTAGAGAAAAATCCTTGAAGGAGGAAAAGGAAACAAAGTAATGTCAATTTTAAAAATCAACGAGATGTATTATTCAATACAGCAAAATGTTAGTCAATACAGTAAATGAGATATATTTAACAGAAAAATAAGCTAGTCAATAGCATGTGGTAATTGAGAAATATAAAAAGATAGAATATATTTGTTTACTCTTTTCATTTCATGGCTTTTTAAATTGTTGATGTCTAGAGATATGTCATTAGAATAAATAAGACAATTTTAGATAATATTAAATCAGAATCTGTAAAACACTGTCATTAAATCAGATACTATAAAACATTGCAGTATATAAAATCAAACTAAAATTGAAGTATAAAATCAAACTAAAATTTAACCCAAGCAAGAAGAAATATACCTAAAACTTCACTAGATATAATTTTCTTTTTTTAAATAACTATTTTATTTAACTTTATTAATTAATTTATTTATTTTAATTTGACCAGTGAGGGATAGAGTGAGAGGGTGGAGAGAAAGTAAGCCACCAGGTCCAGGACTTGAACCAACGTCAGCCAGGAGGGAGTCCAGTGCCCTTAACCAACATGCCACCTGCTGGCCCCAACTAGATGCAATTTTCTAGTGTCATTTATACCATTACTCATGCCAATTGCAATGAAATACTCTCTACCCAGTTGACGTGGTGAGAAGACAGCACATTACAATGGCTAACAGTGAGCCAGGAATAAAAAGACAGAGGTTCTGTGTAAACTGTGATGCCACAAATCAGGTACATTGATAGACAAGCTATTTTTCTTTCCCATTCTTAAAAGAGGCATTCAACTTTATGCCCATTTCTCCTTTAGCCTTTTAACAATGTCAATGGCAAGATTTGAACACCCACTGTGCATTAAAACTAATTTTTCTACTCTTTGTCTTTATTAAAAAGATCCAATTCAGGCCATCAACTTCTTCTTCTGCCCTCTTGTTGTAAATAAAATGAAACTAGACAAAATTGCCTAAAGTATTTAGTATAGTAACATGCTATACAGGCATATTGACATACAGCCTGTATGTGTAGTAGGCTATGCCTAGAGGTTTGTGTAAGTACACTCTGTGCTGTCCACACAATGACAAACTCACCTAAGAATCCATTTCTCAGAACATATCCTAGTAGTTAAGTGACATGTAAAAAAATAACAAGGAGTTGTAAATCCAATTCCCAGAGCTCACTCAAAGCTTGGAATTATTAGATCTTCCATCAGGCATGCTTAATGCATGATACATTCATTATAAACACTAGGAGAATTATATGTCAGTAGTGGTACTGAATTAGTCCTAGAGTAAAATCTTCTCTGAACTTTAACAATGCTTTAAAATAATTCTTTAAAACATCAAGCTGCTTGGGGCCAGCAGGTGGCATAGAGGTTAAGGTGCTGGATCACACATGGCTAACAATGGTTTGAAAATCACACTGGGAGCAAGGGCAAGCATGCCCAAAATCCTAAGAGAAGAATGGAGGAGAGGGGATCAGCAGTTAGCGTAATGACTATGTCTCTGGACTCCCACGTAGTCGACCGTGGTTCACATCCCGTACCCAGTGACTTAAAACTCACACTGGGCGCGGGTGCGTGCATGCCCAAGATGCCGAGAGGAGAATGGAGAAGGGATTGCGGTGTGGCCATCTCCCCTGTGGGGTGATTTCTCGCTTTCTGTCTCTCTGTCTCTGTCTGGCAAGCTCACGCACCCTATAGCAAAAAAAAAAAAAAAAGAATGTTAGGAGAAGGCCATCCTCCTTGGGGGTGATTTCGTGATTTCTCACTTCCCCCATCCCTCATGTTGTCTGTCTGGTGAGACCACAACCACTTGAAGTTGCTCTTGAAGTAAACTAGCTTCCTATCAGAATAAACTCCAACACTTTTTAAAGGAAGACAACAACATCTAGTTTTCGACAGTGTAAAATCCACAAGATCTAGCACCTAATCAAAAATTACTCGTCGTGGGACCAGCAGTTAGCGTAATGGCTCTGTCACTGGACTCCCATGTAGTCGACCGTGGTTTGAGTCCTGGACCCGGTGGCTTAAACTCACGCCGGGCAAGTGCGTGTGTGCCCAAGATCCCGAGAGGAGAATGGAGGAGAAAGGATTGCTATGTGGTCATCCCTACTGGGGGGGGG